GCGCCTCAGCCTCACCTCGGCCCTCGGCTCCACTTGGCAGCAATGTCATTGTTCCATCGTTCTCCCTAATTTCCTTACCTATGTTGTGAACCCTTCACAAGTAAATTCTTACCTTTAAAAAAAACATGTGTTGAACACACTTCAGTAGATTTTCAGTAGTATTACATAATGTTTTTGACCTTTTTATTTTGTAAGGGTGATGAAATATTCAGAGGTTATATTTTTACCTAAATGATTTTCAGAAATTTATTTTTAAGTGTTACATAGTATTTATTTTAAATTATATTTTTGGCTTTTGATATCAAAGATACAAAGCAAGAAAATTGATACTATCCTCCCCTCCTATAATTTCCAAATAGATTAACCCTTTCCTTTTATGATACATGTAACAGAATCGTTCCGTGCGCCCACATTTTCGTACGGATCTGATGGAAGTGGTTTCTCTCTTGGATGCAGTAAAAATTGGAGAGAAGTCTTTGGTGATGAAAAGAAATATTGGCTACTTCCAATATTTTCAAGGTAATTCATAAAATGCAGGCCTCAGAAATTAGGGAATCTGTGATAGTTTCTGTCTCTCTTGTTAAAATGTCTTAGATTCAGAGAATACGGTATATTACGGCAGCCTTAAGAGCCTTGGGAATGAAAACTCGAAATAATTATGCAAAATACTTTATTTTTCATGGCTTCCTTTTTATTAAAGGAGAGTTTGGGCATATATTTGAATGGGAATTAGGAGAAAAAGATGATTCATAGAAAATAAGACTCACTCTTTTTCCTTCAAAATGAGAATAAGTTGTTTGAAGTAAAGAATCTATTTATTAGCCCATATCTTCAAGGATTTCCAATACAGGTTATGTATTCTGTTGTGTCTTAAAATCAAAAAAGACCCAATACTTAGTGCAGCTTTTACCTCAAATCCAAATGAGAACATGTGCTCAAGTTGAGTCATAGTTTCCTTTTCTCCCGAATTGTGGGCTGTCCTAGGCCGTCTTATATACCAGAATTATTACAGAAAAGGAGAGAGTGCTTGAAGTTCAAGTACCGTATTTGTGTTGTAGGGTTTTTTCCTGAACTAACTGTATTGCCTACTATTTTGTCTGAAAGTGATCTATTTTGTCTTCATTTTTGGAAAACATTTTTCCGTAGCACAGAACTCTAGATGTTGCTTACATTTTTTCTGATGAGAAGTTTGTGGTCATCTTTTTATAACATCTTTTTCCTCTGGCTGCTGTGAAGACTTTCTGTTCATCATTGGTTCCATGAAACTTGATTATGCTGTGCCTCCGTGCGGTTTTCTTTGCTTCCTGTGCTTAGGATTCTTGAGCTTCTGGGATCTGTGATTTTTTAACTTGCATCAGATTTGGAAGATACTTTAACCACTGTTTCTTCACGTGTTCTTCTGCCATCCCCTGCCTCTCATTACTGCAGGAGCCCCACCTGCACATCTGTGACTCTGCCGGAGGGTCTGCCTGGCTCACCAGGGGCCTGTCCATCATTCTGTTCACTCTTCCGCGTTTCCTTTGGGTGGGTCTTCAAATGCGTCTGTCTCTCAGTGCGCTTTATCTGCATGAAGCTTTCCTCTCTGGTTGGAACACAGACTGTTTTTTTGTTTTAAGGTTATTTTCTCTAAATGGAAATTTCAGTATTGGCAGGTGTTTGTGTGTGTGTGTGTGTGTGTTTTATTCCCTTCTTTAAAGATGTTGCTGCATTATCTTCTGTCTTGTGTTGTTTGTGACAAGGAATCAGTTTTGTTCCTCTGTTTGTACAGGCATGCCTCGGTGACATTGCAGGGTTGGTTCCAGGCCACCACTATGAAGCAAGTATTGCAATAAAGGGGATCACACGATTTTTTTGATTTCCCAGTTACATATAAAAGTTATGTTTACACTAACTGTAGACTGTTAGGTGTTCAATAGCATTATGTCTAAAAAAACAATATACATACCTTAATTTAAAAATGCTTTATTGCTAAAAAATGCCATTCATCGTCTGAACCTTCAGCAAGTCATAATCTTTTTGCTGGTGGAGGGCTTGAAATATTGTGAGAATTACCAAAATGCAACCCAGACAGGAAGTGAGCAAATGCTGTAGGAAAAATGGCGCCAATAGACTTGCTCAATGTAGGGTTGCCACAGGTCTTTAACTTGTAGAAACCACAGTATCTGCGAAGCGCAGCAAAATGAAACATGGTACATCGAGGTCTGCCTGTCAGTTCTGTGACTTTTTCCCCTGTAACTACTTTTGAGATTCTGTCTTGATCACTGGTTTTGAGCAGTTTGATAGTAATTTTCCATGGTGTGGGTTTCCTTGTGTTTATCCTCTCTGGAGCTCGTTAGGCTTCTGGGATCTATGAATTTATAGTTTTCATCAAATTTAATAATTTTGAAATAATTTTCCGTCTTTTTCTGCCTGCTCCCCTCTTCCTGTGCCCTCCGGTCCTTGTAAATACTCATTGTGACCCAGAGGTCACTGCTGCTGCCCCTCCCTTCCCCCACCCCGACTGTTTTCTCTCTTTGCTTCAAGTTGGATAGTCTCCCTTGTTATGTCTGTAAGTTCACTAATCTTTTTTTCTGTACCATCTAGTCTACTGTTAGGCTCATCCAATGAAATTTTATTTCAGATACTATATTTTTCAGCTCTAGAAGTTCAATTTGGTTCTTTTTTTACATGTTACTTTTCTCTTTTCATTATATCCACTTTTTCCTGTTAATTCATGGACATATTTATAATCACTATTTTAAAGTCTTTGTTTCAGGTTTTCACGGTCATTTCTAAATCGTTTCTATTGACCTTTTTCTCTTAGTTGTGAGCACATTTTCCTGCTACTTTTTCTGCTGGTAGTAATTTTTGATTGGATGGATGGTGGACGTTTTGAATTCTAAGTATTTAAATTTTATTGTCTCCCTTTAGGGAATGTTGAGTTTTGTTTTGGCAGACAGTTAAGTTGCTCGTGTTCCAGCTTGGTCCTCTTGAGGCTTGAAGATTCGTTAGGTTGGGTATAAAGAAGCATTTTCTCTGGGGCAAGTTTAACTCCACAACAGAGGGGAGAGCCTACTGGGGTCTCTACCAAACGCTAGTGTCCCATGTCTCTACTTGAATGGCCTTCAGTGCTCTGTGAGCTGGGAATCCTTCCCGTCCACTTTCCCAGATTCACGTGTTTGGCCAAGTGTTCATCTGGTGACTCCGGGAAAGCCCTGTGCAGGTGTCTGCACTTCCCTCTTTTCCCAGCTCTGTCCGACAGAGTCAGGCATCTTCAGTTTCTCAAGACCCCCATCTGTGCCCCTCAGCTCAGTGGGACTGCCTTACTCTGCGCCTTTCCCCTCCTGGCGCTCAGGTTCTGCAGAAGCTGGGGCTCCTTGTCGGTGCCTCGTCTTTCAGACGCCACAGTTCTGTGCTGCCTGTTTTGAAGACGGTTGTGCAACAGGAGGCCAGTCCATCTTGGCTGGAAGTGGAAGTCCCTGTTGCACACGATTTTGATGCGTTTAGAATGTGGCAGTAAGGCATAGCTGTACTTATTTTAGGTTGTAAACTCTTTTGAGGGCAGAGATTTTCTCTTCTTTTGTTCACTTGCTGTGTCCCTAGCACTTAAAATGGTGCCCGAGTGGGGAGAGTACAGCTCAAGTGCTAGAGCACACGCTCAGCCTACACACGACCCTGCGTCTGGCCCCCGGTCCCTCCTCTGAATAACTAACCTGACACCTCCCCCCTCAAAAAAGTGGTACCTGAAACCTCATATGCATTCAGTAAATATTTGTTTAATAAATTTTGTTGAATGAATAAACAGGTGAAACTTATATCATGAATTTCAGTTCAAACCTTGATGATGTCTTAAATGATTGTGATAAGCAAGTCAGCTACCCAAATATTTGAACATGTATGTTTGAGGTATCATAGCTTTAATAGGCACCATAACCTCAACAGTCATGTAAAGTATGTTTTTAAATATTTGTAAATTATTGAAGAAAAAGGCTCATTTCTTCAGTGGAGGCTGATAACCTTCTAAATTAGAAATCTTTGGACTTATACTCTGAAATGACTAGTTATGATAATTTCTTTATACTATGCCTCTGAAAAACAAGTGTTAAATTTGACCATTTTGCTCTAACTTAATATAATTTAAACTATCACCAGTATTTTTCATTGTACAGTCCGGGTGATGGCTGCAGTTTCCCGACTCGCCTGGTGGGGACGGACCCAGAACAATCTTCTGTTTCAAACCAAAATGAATACGCCAGAAGGTGTGCTTCTTGTCGTTTCATTTTTCAGAGTTCACGATAAAGCAAACCATGTGTGTCATACAAAGATGAACACGGTGTGATGAAGCAAGCCAGTGTAGACAGGGAAAGAAATTACAGAGAGTTTTTTAACTGAGGATTATTCTGTGCATACACCTGATGTGCTTCAGATAATCATATTTTTATCATCCAAACCAAAACAGTTTTGCGAGTTAGAAAGTGAGTGCTGCGTGTAGTCGAGCCAGGGCAGTCACGTGACACTGCCCGCGTCCAAGCAGGAAGCACAGCTTCCCTCCTTGTGCTGCGTCTCCCCAGAAACTGAGACCCTCTTGCAAGGTTGGAGTATGTTGGTTTGTCAGTTAGTTTTCAAAGAAGTTAGTCGCTGTACTGTTTATTTGATAAACAGATTTTAACTGTAGTGTGAAAATAATATTAGTGAGGATTCAAATGTACAAATGCAGAGTTTTTCTTATTCATCTTAGAGGATATTTTCTCAGGGTCTGTATGGTAAGCAGACAGGTTTACAAGTTCAGAGAAATAGTTTCTTTTAAATGAGATTGTAAAAAAGATAGATACACTTCTGTCAAAGTGAAACCCTTGAAACTTAATTACTCCAGAAATAAGTTGTGGGGGAGGAGGGATTAAAACTTTCAAGGTAGCAGATGAGTTTCAGGAGCACGGAGGCCTTCGAGCCTAGAGCCTAAGGCCTTCTGGGACCTCCGAGCTCTGACGTCTGCTGTAGGTCTGAGCAGTTAGCGTCCAGCTCTGTAAGGGGAGAGCGGTCATGCTGCCTCCGGGGTGGCTGTGCAGGTTGCAGTAACGTGTAGAAAGCACCCAGCTCCGTGTCCAGCCCGGAGCAGGCACCCAACGAATAGTAGTTCCCCTTCCTCCTTCTTTTGTCCCTCTGTTCCCTCCCTCCCTGGACCTCTTAGCTAGAAAAATAAGTCTACACTGAATCACTGAATCATTTTTTCCCCTTAGATCTATACTGCAGAGGTAGAAAGCAGAAAACTTGGGAAATGACAGGTAACTTTTGTCCCGGCCACAGACACAGACCCTCACCTGTCCTTGTGCTGCTTTATGGCTCGTGGTTAACATGGTAAAACTGTCTCAGACTGGCCCTGCAGCCTTTTCCTTTTGTCTGATTGTTTTCACTGGCAGTGCTGAGTACAGATTCTTGGGTCTAGAGAGCCATTCAGTGGGGGGGTTGGGGGCATTTTTTTCTTTTGAAGACGGAGTTTTTTTGGAGTGCTGAGATCTCATGAGTTGCCCTCATATATTAGGAGAAGGAATACTAATTTGCTGCTTATTAATTAAGTACCCTTAATTGAGCATTAAACTGTTTACTAAATTATTTGCTCCTCTTTTCAGTATTGGCTCAAATCAGCCCTTTCCTACTAAACCGCTTAGTGAATCAAAAAACCGCTTGTTGGACAGTGAATCTCAGTGGATAGAGAATGGACCTGAAGCAGGTGCTGCTGGATCAGGTGAGACTTACCATCTGAAAACATGGCTTCATCTTGTTAAAATGAAAGTTAATAAATGTGGAAAAATCAAAACATGTAATGTGGTATTTTGAAATACTAAAATATGTGAAACTTTTAAATAAAATATCTTGAACACAGGGTGCTAGTGTCCACGGTGGCCTCTGTGGAGGCGGGGGTTGAGCAGGCTGTGGTGGCTGCCCCATGCGCGCTGTGCACGGCGGGGCTGCTGTTGCTGTTCCCCAGCCATGGATTTTGTCACCTCAGATGTCGAGGGTTCTTTGGCATAATACTCTTAAAGGTCATAGCTTTTGCCTATTTGAAAATAATTTTGAAATGCATTGTACTCTTTGGCTGTCTTGTCATAGTATAAAAAAGAGTGCACTGAATATATTTTAACCTTTTCTTGATGACTTAATCATGTGATGAATTATGGATACATTATAGAACAATTGATAAGATAGCAGTGGGCTTTTCAATCAGACCTGGGTTTATAATCTAGCGTGGTCATTTACCAGCATTATAGCCTAAAATATATCCGTGGTTCTTAATAACAGTAGTAGTAATGTTCTTCTTGCACTGTAGGAAAATGGTTTGGACATTCAGATCAATTTGTACTAACTGAAGGAAATACCCTAAAACTTGCAAACTTGCTGTCAGACTTTCTGACGTGTCGCTGTGGTTGGTTTGGCTTCCAGCAGCATTTCCGTTCTGTTAGCATCGTGAGGACCTTCGTTAGGCTTGGCAGACCTTCTGTGTGAGGTCACGGGAAACGTTTGTTTTGTGGACTTTCAGTCAGTGCTGCTGAGCATCCTCAGAGCCAGCGGACGTGTTTACAAGGATAAGATAAAAGCAGACCTTCAGATCTTAGCACTTCTGTTCTTCCAGGAGACAGACGGTTGGCACCAGAAACCTATTTAGTGCTTACATAAGACTTGCTTTTACTGTAATCATCAATTTTACCATTTGGCCAGAAACTGAATACTTCTTTTTGTCATGTTATATATAATTATGTGCTTACAGGGACAAATAACCATGTTACAGTGGCAATAGAAAATTGAGTTCCACTTGTTCATAACTAACCAATTGAATAAGAGCAAGGTAAGACAGTATAAAGGTAATTTCCTTGAACAAATGCAGTTTATTTGCGTGTTATAATCTCAAAACGATTTGCAGTTCGCTCTTTGTTTTTAAACTCTTTCCATTGTGTCTGCAGTCAGGTAGGTCAGGAAAGACTGGAAGGTGACGTCTGCCTAAATCCCGTTTCTCTTAAGTTCCTGCGCGGTCTCAGTGAGTGTCTGTTGATAGACTAATGAAGAAACTAACGCAAGTTGTTTAGGATTGGTAGGTGGACAGCTAACCTTCTCAGTAAATGGCACCTTATGAATTAGTTTAAGGGGGAAAAAAAGGGGGAAAGAGCTGACCTTTGCCCACTACTGAAGAAATCTGACCCAGAGAAGTGACTAAGAGTGCAGGCCAAAAAAGGGACTTAGAGGTTCGTTGATGTTACTTACTGGGCACGAGATAAGCAGAAGAGCACCTCCCTGCAGTGGAGTCGCGGGCCAGC